CAACCCAGGAATTAAGAAAGCAAACTCAGTTTGTTCAGTAGTCTACCAGACAAACCCTGGTTAAGGCAAACAACCATGGATTAACCAAAATGCATTCTGTATGAACCTGGACAAAGCATTGCCTATCCTGCAATCCATAAACCAACTGAAGGCGGGTCACAAGTCACACAGCACATGAATCCATTATTCTGCAAAAGTTTACTCAACAGTGAGGGCCACTGAATTCAGCAGGAGTCACCTCTGAGTCAACATACACAGGATCCAACTGCTATTCCTGATCATGTCTTTGCCTGAATCACAAAGGATGCTTAATGCCATCCATACAAGCCACTGCTTCCAATAGTCCAGTGATGCAGGCTGAGTACTTTCCAACACAGGAAATTTTTCTGCAGAAAAAAATCGATTTCGCAACAATGAATGGATATTGCTTGCAAATCAACTCTTAGGCAAATCTGGCAGTTTCAAAGTTGCAATTAATATATTTCAGTTGATTATCCATAGCAAGGAGGGCTTTCATGCATAGGATTGCCATAAGTCAGAGACAACCTGACAGTACACAGCAAGAACAAATGAAATGGAATGAATCAGTAGTGACAGAAAAAATAAACTTTTCACTGTTTTCTCCTGTAAATTTAATACTATAAGGAAAGCACGTGAAACTGCCTTTAAATTGTTATTAGTATTCCAATAAAAAATTCTAGGTAATATAACACTGAAATCATATTAATGTTTCCCTTCAAATATTTCAAGTCAAATATATTGGGGTATTGGAACCAAAAATTAATAGGAGTACTCTGCTGTTTACAAAATACAAGTAAAATAAATTGAATATACATTATTATTTAAAATAAGTAAATGTGCAAATCAGACCATTCCCTGTGGTATCAAAAAGCTTTCCTATGCAAAGGGCTTCCTGCCCAGCAGCCAAATTTAATTCAACATTTTCCCGGAAAATCCACATCAGTGCAACAACCTCCTAAAAAAAACAGCTGGGGTCGGGGAGCAGAAACAAAAGGAAAAGAATCTGGGGCCCTTCCACCCAGTCTGAACATAAAACACTACTTTGGTTCTAAGTAGACTGAGCTGAAAGACTATTTCCAAGTGTGGCTGTCCAGGCCACGGTTGCTTGGGAGCAACCTTGAATGTCTTGCAATCTCTTGTTTACTGTGGTATCAAATTCTGCGGTGTTATAATCAAAGAAGTCAAGGCCCTGCCCTGAGGAGCTTACACTAAGCTCCTTCCTCAAAACAGGAAGAATGAAACATGCCTTTTATCAAGGTAATCTAGCCCAGTATGTATTTATTTATTAGATTTATAGCCTGCCTGTTTCTTTTTTAAAGAATTCAAAGGGGCTTGCATCATTCTCCTCCTGCTGCTCTCAGTCTTATCCTCACAACAACAACCCTGTGAGGTAGGTTGGGCTGAGATCCACCACTGGCCCAAAGTCACCCACTTGGCTCCATGGCTGAGTGGGGACTAGAACCCAGATCGCCTGAGTCCCAGTCCCATGCTCTTAACCACTTCACCACACTGGCTGTCTGTGGTGTTAAAGAAAAGCCCCAGCCCTATGTAGAAATGGCAGGGGCCGAGCCTGGAACCTGCTGCGTGCAAAATATACATCTTGCCTCACGGGGGTGGCCTTAGAAACACCTTGCAGGCCAGGTGTTCAGGGATCAGGGTTCCAAAGGCCCAAGCTCTGTGCCAGGATGCCAAATCCATCCACGTCTGCCCCAGCCACTTGGGGCACACGTGGGCTGCTGAATCTGGGAAGCTGTAGTCCCGGTTTCCCACAACAGCCTGCAAGGACAAACACCCAGTGCACGGAGGGAATTTACATGGGCAGCATGTTGCTACTGCCGAACCCTGCCAGGTAACCCGGCCAGAAAGCCCTCCCGACATGGGAGAGGTGACATCAAGAAGCTCCTCGAACCGAAAGCCAGTCCTGCACTCCCACGTGGGATAAAAATGCATGCATAAATGCATCTGGATCCTCAGCATGTTTGGAAAGAGCTTGTTCGGCTATCATTAGAACCATGGGGAAATCGGGGGGGGGGGGGCAATTCAGATGTGCAGGCGATGGGACAGCTGCGCCCGGGGCCCGCACCGTGTGTGGCAGCATGTGGTGCGCATCCAGCAGGGCCCCAGAGTGCACACAGTCAACACAGCGCTGGCATGCGCGACCTCCAGCACAATGCCGGATGCGACCACTTGCTGCAACGGATTTCCCAGAGAAGGTCAGCTGCGCAAGCGATGCTCCCAGGGTCCCTTTCGGTTGTCCTCACTACCTCACCAGTGTCCTCACCACCGTCACAGATGCGGCTGAAAAGCAAAGAGGCCCTTCAGACGAGGACTGCGAAAGGAGGAATGAGGGCACTGGATGGCGGAGGAGGGTGACTTCATCTCATGGCCGCCATCTCCAGGTGCTCAGGCAGACCTCGGGAAATGACAGGGCTTGGAAGAGCAGGGAGGGGGCGTGGGAGAGGAGCCCGGCCTGGTCCCTGACCCCTTGAAACAGCCGTGGGAGAAAAGGCTAGCCAACTAGGGGGGCTGCGTAGATCTGGGAGGGTAGACCTTCTCCTGAGGGGCATGCCCAAAGGGGTGGGCCCAGCATTACTGCAAAGGAGGATTTGGGGAAGCACTTTCTCCCTTGGGTTCAGTGCGCTGCTCTGTGCATGCTCAGGGACTCTTCCACCACTGGTTATTAGTGTGCTGGCTGTACATTGGAAATAAAGTGCTTTTTCACCAAAGAGCTGTTTGAGGGGGAGGAGGAGGGAATGCAGGTCCCAGCAGAAGCTCCCTTATCCTGAAGCAGACCATGGAGCCATCTAGCCCAGAAGGGACAACCCTGACTGGCAGCAGCGACCCTCCAGGGTTTCAGGCATGGCTTTTCTTTTCTACTGCTCAGTCACAGCCCTCCTGCTCCATGTGTCTCCCGCCCAGTCTGTTTTTGCTGGAACTAACCCTGGCATAGTAGCAGCCCAGAGTTTACACCCATTAAAATAATACACTCCATGACTCTTGTGCTGGGACTGGGTGTGACAGACCATGATTGGTCACCTTGTGACTTCATGGCTGTGGTGAGATCCAGCTTTCCCAACTCACGCTTTTCCTATTACAATAGAAATTTCCAAGAAATGAGCTTGTGTGTGTGTTTCTGTGTGCTGGAGGAAACAGCAAGCTACCCCTTCTTTTTTTCTTCTTCTTCCCTTTACTGGCTTCCAGTCGGATGAGCAGAGAAAGCAAGAAAGAACGATGGAAAGAAAGAGGCCTACAGGACTCCATGTTTAAGTTCTGAAAGCCCCACACAGCTGTGTAGGGCACTGGAAAAGCGAAACTTCCTTCTGAGTCAATGCTGAGAGGACTGGATAAAGCAGCTAGTTTGCAGAATTCAAGAGGATTCCTCAAAAGAAACTGAAGAGGGCCAGTAGGGACCTGTCTGTTTTAAGAGGCCAACTCAACCCAAGAGAACGACTGAGCAGCCCAGCTCTTTGCTGTGTCAATGTTTGCTTTCTCCTAACCAATCAGGCTGCTCTTGTCATATTCCCAGGGCCAGCCATCCTTCTGAGCATCTTGGCAGCTTTAGGAAGAGCAACCGATTCCGGTCAATTGAATCTGCACATATTTCCATGAAAAGAACAAAATGGTACCAGCTTATGTGGCAACTGATCATTTGCATGTGGTTACTGGGAACTGGCTATCAGTGAGTAGAAAAAAGTTATAAGAGAAATATAAAGAGAAATATAACAGAAATACACAAAGAATCGGGCTACCGGTCCATTAGGAATTGTCGGGAAAGAGAAAAATGTTAAAGAAACTGTCTTTCGCACAAAGATACTCTTAGTATAACATATCATACATGCAGTGGGACCCAAAGTACATTTCCTCAGAAACAACACTTATTGGGTTGATGAGGCTTACTCACTAGTAAATGCACTTAAGATTGCAACCTAAATCCTATATGCAGGTCCTCCGTTGGTGGAAGTATATCCCAATTTACGCAATGGGATCTACTCCACAGAAAGTGCTCTTAGGACTCAGTCCTCCTAGGAAATTACAGCGTGATCCTACGTGTATTTACTCAGAGGTAACTCCAGCTAAGTTCCAAACGCAGCCCTACTTCTGAGTAAGCAACAAAGGGCGATGGAACTGTTGGCGGACGTTTTACTATTTCTGTATTTTAAGCATCGGTCCAGTGTGCCAATGCGATTGTTACTCTTGTCACCTTTTACAAAGGATGGAAGGGGAAGAAAAGCCATTTCCAATAGGAAACATCTTTTTTCCAGTCTACTGTTTGCGCTTCCAAAGGACAGGGGAGGGGGGCGCGGAGGGGAGCAAGGACGGCACGAAGGCGCTGACTCAAGTCTCCGAAGCTCGCGTGGAATCACAGCCTTTCGCGCAACGTGCCCCTGCCCTCATCGAAGTCTCCCCACCAACGCCACCCCAGACCCGCCCGCCCGTCCGTGCTCGATCAATACCGCAATTAGTTGCTTCGCCCGCCCCAGACACTCAACTCCCACCCCAACATCTGGAAGGCGAAAGCGAAGGGAGGAGAAAAGACGGTCGGAGAGGCATCCGCAGTCGAGTCCGCCTCGGTAGGGATTCTGCACATGCAGGCGCTCCGTTCCCAAAAAGAAAAGCGGGGGGAGAGATCACAGGAGGAGCACCAAGGGGGAACGCCGGGTTTGCAGATAAGGCAGGGTTTGGGAACGGGGGAGGGATTTATCTCCATCGGTAAAATTAAGAGCCTGAGGGCGGACACTTGGGTTATCACTTTGTTTGGGGCGATTTTGCCTCCAAAAAGCCAAAAATAATTTTAAAAAATAAAATGAAAAAGAAAACACCCAAAACCAGGAGACAAAGCATCCCCGCCAATGCATACTACATCCAAAGCACGTCTTCGATTTAGGGAGACGGGCAAGTTGGCAATTTTTGCTTTTAAAACAATCTAAGGAGGAGAAAAGAAATAACAAGAAGCAGAAGACAAGCATCACATAACTCACCTGGTTTGGGATGGCTGCTCCCTGCCCTTTACAAAGAACATAAAACCAAGAGGCCGGGCTGGCAACCAATTCACTTAGACATGGGGCCAGGCTTGCAGGCAGCTCCCTTGGGATGCAAACTGTGCAAAGGGTGGGTAGATGTCCCCCCCCTTCCCCCCTCCCCACCAACCCACTCCCGCCCCCTTTTGCTTGGGCTGCTGTTACTGCTGCTGCTGCTGCTGCTGCTGCTGCTTGCTGAGGCTGATAGAAGCAACAGCAGCGGGAGGAGGAGGGAACACAATGAATTGCAGCGCAAGGAAAACGCTCTAGCCCGAACCCGCTTGCAATTACATCATCCTTCTATCACTCTGGAGGTAGGAGGGAGAGGGAGAAAGGCAGAGAGGACAGAACGTTGCCATTGGTCCTTTAGGGTTCTTCCCCGGCGTCTTCTGGGAAAAGTAGTTCCGAACCGGTCCTAACCTCTGCCTTGCCCAGGAGCCAGAGGCGCCATGAGAACTACAGTTCCCAGAGAGCTTCGCGCTGCGCAGGCGCAGTGGGAGAAAGACACAAAGGCGGGCACGGAGGGTGGGCCTTCGTTGTTGCGAGTCGAGCTAGCTTTTTGAGCGGCCATATTGGCGGAGGGATTAGGGACGGCGGAGGCGGTGGACGGTCTGAGGCGGCGGCGGCGGCGGCGAAAAGGAAACGGCCCTAGGAAAAGCCGGGTTATAAAATGTGAGGAGAGGCGAGGGTCGTTCTGCGGCGGCGCGTGTGAGGAGCGAGGGCCACCAGCCCTCTGGCGCGTTTGGTAATGGCTGCTCTGTTCCCTCCCCCACTTCTTCCCCCGGGCCGAAGCTGAGGGAGGGGCGCGCGCGGGGTGGCGAGGTTGCCATAGAAGCCGCGGGCGGCCGCGTCCCCCTCCCGCTCGCCCTCGCCCCGCCCCTTCGGCGCTCCGGCGGCCGCCGGGTACGCGGGGCGCCGTGGCGTGGCGTGGCGTGGCGTGGCGTGGCGTGGCGGGAGAGCGCCCGGCCCGGGTCGCGGAGGCGGCGCGTTCCCGCGGGGGCGGCGGCAGCGCTCTCCTCGGGCCGGTCGCGTTGGCTTCAGCGGGCCTCCTTTTCACACGCGGCTGGCTCTGGATCCCAGCCCGCAGACGGATCCTGGGAGGCTGAGGTTTCCCGTAGAGTTGGCCGGCCGGCCGCCGCTGAGCGCGATCCTGGTAGCTGCACCGAACTCCGCAAAAGCGATGGGTTTAGGAAAGGAGTCATAGTCTGGCATAAGTCTGGGGTGCTCAAGCTCCCCCAGTGGTAGTTGCATTTGGTAGTGGCACAATACAGGCCACTGGCTTGCTTCCTTGCTTATGTTTAAAATTATTTCTTCTATTTCTGTAAGGAGCCCCAAGGCGGCTTCTTAACCCTTCTTTGTTTTGTCCCCACAACATCCTTGTGAGGTAGGGTTAGGCTGAGAGTAATTGAGTTGGGTCAGAGTCATCCACTGAGCCTCCTGGCAGGGACTGGAAAACAGATCTTCTTAGTCCCAGTCCAGCGCTGCTCTCCACTACGCCTCGCTGGCTGTCTTTTTCTGTTATACCGGCCTTGTATTATAAGGCTGGGGTGCTTCCCAGGCTGCCTGATTTTCCAAGAATGCATGGGAAGCCCAAGGGCATTCTTGGAAAATAGAAAGTCTATTGCTGTATTCCAGTGCTTAATCGTGAAGCGTACTTAGCTGCCCAGAAAAAGGTAACTTGAGGGTCTCTAGCAGGGCTGGGGAGGGTGGAGAAGGAGGGCTGTGTTCTTCTTGTGTTGTCTCGTGTGTGTGTGTGTGTGTGTGTGTGTGTTTATTTTGGGTTGGTTGGTTTTGACATTGACAGGTGTTTTGCCTGTGTGACTATGGGAAGTGGGAGCTTGTCAGCCATACCCACTCTGTTAATGGGCAAGGTTCCCCAACCTCACGGTGCAGCAACAGTTTTGTAAGAGTGTCCACAATGCTTTCTCAGAGCTCCAGATGTGTCCGCTGAGGTACCATGTTTGGGAACTGGCACTTTAGGGAGTTGCCATAGGTGACAAGGGATGGTATGCAGACCAGTACAGGCACTGTTCCTTCTTTGTGCCCAGCAGGCTACCATAGCAGTGAAGGCCCCCTCCCAGCTCCGCTTCTGTCAGCGTTGCCCTTCAGCATCATACGGCTGGCAAATCCTAGGCATTACCATTTTTTTAACCTGCCCTGTACTACATCTCAGCTGAGTTGCAGCAGGTTAATTGTTGCTTTCAGAAACTTTCCTGTTCAGGGTGTTTATCGCTAATCATATGGGGACCTGCTCATACATACATAACATGCCTTCAACCTGGGTAGTTGTTTAAAGGGCTTTGGGCCAGTCACAGATTCTCAGCCCAACCTACCTCACAGGGTTGTTGTTGTGGGGATAAGATGGAGGAGAATGATGTAAGCTGCCTTGAGCCCTTTGTAGGAAAAAGGCAGGATATAAATCACAATATAAATAAATAAAATAAAAATAAATAAGACATACAGTATCTTAGATCAGTTTTCCACAGCCAGGTACCCTGCATGTGGTTAGACCAAGTAGCCTCAGCCAGCCTAGCCAGCAGACGAGTTGTATTTCAAAACCACCGGAGGGCACCAAGTTGGAGAAGACTCCTTCAGATTATGGCAGATAGTAGTTTTGTAGGGCTTCCATTCAGTTGATCTGACTCCAGTCAGCTCTAATCAACCAGAGGGAAATGGCTAGCCCTCTTTCAGGGTGTCTAACGGGTCTGTTTAAAATGCAAGTAAAAATTGGGCATAAAAAAGTACAACGTGGCTCTAACCAGAAACATGCTGGCTGAGGCCCAAAGGCCCTGAAATGGAAAGACATTCTCCTGGACTTTTTGCACAAAAAAGCATAATGAGGCAATCTTACTTTTAATACTGAAACCACTTTTTGGACTGGGGTTACTTTATGTACAAATTTTAAACACAGCCATAGCCAGTTAAAGGAAAAATGACCTTATCACGATCTTGTATCCCTTAGTCCTACGATTTTGTTGTCGTCTGCAAGATAGACGCCACATAGTAAATGGACCTATGGAACAGCCTCAGCAGTAATTTCCACTGTTTGAAGAGGCTTATCTCCATGTAAGGCTACTGCCTAGTTGCCAACTCACTAGTTCGGAGTTTTGCAATGCAGTGGAACTTCCTGTTGAGTAAATGTGCTGAATTGTTGCTTTATCTCTCCACATGTTTGACATGTCTTTTCAAGTGAAAAGAACCTGAAGGGAGAAATGGATGGGAAATGCACAATACTTAATGTTTAGCTCTGCATTCTCTTTCAGGAACTTGGAGGAGAACAGAAGATGTGGAAAAGATTTGGGTCCCCTTGTTCCTTTTGGTGTCAGACAACAATTTTTTCTGTGATCCTGGGTTTGATTGGCCATTTCTCAACAATGGCTTGGATGGAGGAGAATGTGCGGCTCAACTGACGATCCAGCAGAAATGGAAATGCCACGATTTTCTCATGGCTAGATTGGGTGGCAGTGGGAGAAAGAAAACACACATCTTTGAAACTCTTCCTTCTGCAGACACTTTATTCAAACATGTTTATTTCGCATCAGTATCTTCCTTTCAGAGCATTGAGCTGTAACACCAGGGACAAAGGGGTTTATCAAGGGTTTTAAACTCTTAACTAGGTTAGGATGTTCTTTGGTGGGTGAAAGAACATCTTGTTTTTAAGGCTTCTAATTAAATCAGGTTTTGGTACTCTGCAGCTGCAACTGAGTCATAGGGAAAGTTGGTAAGTATTTTGAAAGCAGTGGCGCTGTTTTAGTTTCTTTCCATAAACCAGTACCTTTCAAACTTGCACTGAACATCAGCCAGTGCAAGTTTTGGTGCAGGCAAGATAGACGGTGTGGAGAGGCATATGAAGCTGCCTCAAACAGGATCTGATCTATGCCCTGGTATTGTCGGTTCTTCTTCCTAGTAGCTTTCCAAGGTTTCAAATTAGGGGTCTTTCCAAGCTCTAAAACCTGAGATCTTGAAAGGAAAGTGCCAGGGGTGGAAAGTTGAACTGTGTAAGTGGGAGGGATGTGCTGTATCACTGAACCATTTTGTCCTGGGAGTTTAAGAAGGTGCTACCAGGCCTTCTTGCAACTCAAGGTCCAAAATGCACTGCACAGAGGCTTTCTGGAACATTCTCATGGGGGGGCAAGGGCAAAAGGACAAAGCCAAAATACCAGTATGTTCTCACTTGATGCTTTTGCTACTGGTAAGTAATCCTTAGAATAACATTCAGCCTTTCAGTTGTCGGGGGAGGCATTCACAAAAGACAAGACACGGCTAAATAATTGGTAGTTAAAAGGAAGTAGCTGTTGTGTGCCTTAGACCAGTTCTAGTCCTCTTGGGCTGTATAATGTCTTGTTTCAACTTGCGCATTTCTCTGGAGCTGAAGTATTGGTAAAGTGGCTGTGATCTGCTAGTGTAGTTGCACAACACTTCACTCCTGTATGGATGTGACAAACAGCTAAAAGCTTCTGTGCTTTATATCTGCAAGATAAAGTGGGATGCAGCAGCCATCAGGTAAAAAAGACATCCCCAAGCTTGATTTAATTTAGGTCTCGCTATGCGAGTTCATCAGCAAATGTTGAGGCATAGGCCTGCCTCACAGCTGGAAAAAGGAGAGCCTTTACCACACTCCACATCTTCACCTGAGTCTCGATGGTGCTTGCTTGCAATTGCTCAGATAAATTTGTACAAGGACTGCAGCCTTTTCTGAGCTTTCATGGGGCTGCTGTGAGTTGGCAATCCTTAAGAGTACAAGCCCAACGTGAAAGTCTCCGCACCTCATGCCTAAGGAAGTGGACGTGGCCAATTTTCCTTGCTCACACACCATTCCTTTGATGCTAAACAATGTCAACGGCTTGTCTTCAAATGTACTGGGGGGAGGAATTGGAGAAGTGCTGCATCTAATTTGGCATGTACTTCCCTCCCCCAACCCCGGTTTCGTTTTCAGGAAAGGTATGTTTTGGCAGCTACGCTGCTGATGACGCTTCTTCAGGCTTGAGTAACTTGGCGCTGTTCTTTGTACAGCAGTGCTAGTGAGAAAACGGGTTCATTAAAGGGTGAAGAGATGGGATTTGCCCATGGGACTAATGCGCTCCAAATGGGGTGAAGGGCTGGGTGGTCATGCGGAACAGATGAACAACTCCTGTCAACATTTCCTTAACCCTGCCATCCCCAGTCTTGTGTCCGCCTGATGTTTCAGCCGATAAAACTCAGGATTTCTGGCAATTGAATATATTGGCTGGGTCTGATGGCAAATGAAGTCCAAAATACCTAAATGGCACCAATCTGGGAACAAACAGCTGCTGCCTAAATGACAGTGTTTCTGAAAAGCTGAGTGGCTTTGGGTTGCCGTCTGAACTCAGGCTCATGCATCCAGTGCGGAGCGCACATCCACGAGCATTTTCTGCCTGAGGCACTTATAGTGGGGGACAAGGAGGCTGCAGAGGGCATGAGATAGTTTGCATGCTGGCTGCTGCTGCGGCTGCTGCTGCGGCTGCTGCTGCGGTCCCTCTTTGACTGCAGCTCCAAAGTTGATTCCCAGCGTTGGAGCAGCAACCAATTGCAAGTGAAAGGAGGGGGGATTTCCAGCTGTATTTTAAGAGCTCTATTTCCAGCCGAAAGTCTGGGAAGGGAAGACTCTGGTGTCTGTAGGCTAGGGGATTGCTCTCTAGCCTTGCTTCCTGGCCAGTTCTTCACAGTTCTGGGTGCCTTGTCCACATCAGTCCCTTACAGAAACACCCCCATGGATAGCATCCTATCTTACAAGCAGATACAATTGTGACCTATGTGCAAGTTTGGAATTGGATCGAGCTGTATCTTTAATGTTGGGGAGGGCATCCTTTCAGCTTTTTTTGGGGGGGGGTCTCCTTGGTTTTTAGTCAGAGCCCCAAGATCCACCAAAACATTCTCAAATTGAGTCATGCTGAAGTTACAAGTCTGCCATACACTTTGCCATTGTTAATGTCCTTGGAGGTGGCATTACTGTGGTCTTGCATGAAATTGCAGAATAAATTGGTAGATCCAGAATGACCTTCCCAGGTAAGCTGCAAGAAGTTTATAAAGGCCCCTTGCTTCTTTCAGCCGCTGCCACCATTTTCCTTCCCCTAGGCCAAGCATGTTAGGCTTGAGATATCTCAGCAGATGCCTCTGGGTGACTGGAGCGGTGCTAGCAAAGGGATAAATGCCAAGCCAAGTAGCTGAATGGTAAGAAACACGAAACCCCAGGAGAAGATGGCTGGGCGAACAGTTCTGTGCATATATGGCGTGGATTTGGAAGACCTACCTGCTTGAGCTAGGGCTGACTCTTTGCTGGTGCGTTTCATCCCAAGTGGCCTCTTTTCCCTTCCATCACCCTTTGAGATTCCTAATTGCAAGCCCTCTGCTTTGAGAGACCCATAATTTGCAGTAGGAAAACATGCGGGATGACTCTTCCTACTCCAGCACTCCTGATGGGGCCTCCCAGTGGCCTTTTGTACAAAAGCGGCATCAGTGATTCGTGCATGTGTGAATGTATTTAGCGGTCAGCTGTGATGATGTCTCCAGAGGGTCATGTAGAGAGAGGATCTGAACCCTCCAAGCAACTGTAGTGGCAAGCTCCCTTTGCTGGCCAGCAGCATGACACCAATTGGATTGGGTGCCTCATTTCTAGCAGCAAAACCTTGTCCACCTGGTAATAGCAGTGAATACCAGCAAAGCCTCCAATAAATATTTGCTGTTACCCGCTCCTTGCTGAGATTTCAGAGACCCAACGTGGACTTCCACAAAATGCAGTCAGTCTTCAGGTGGTGGTGCCCCTCAGATATGCCTTCCAGGCATCTGTGAGGCAATATTGATGGGAAGTATGCAGTGGCAGGGTGGTGGCTTGGCCAGGTAGACTTTGGGCAGCTGCTTCGGCAGGATTTCAGCAGGTAAGCTCCTTGGAAACAGAACTGGTGGGGAAGACTTGCCTGGCAGTTCTTTTGGTAGCTCGGGGTTAAGCCTCTTGGGTTAAGAATCAATTTGGGGAGTGTTGCAATTTTTTTAATATCAGTTGAAAAGAGCAGGCAAAGCAAGAATCCCAAGTATTACCTTGTTAACTTCAAAGACAGGATGCAGTCACTTCCCTGTGCAATCAGAATGGCGCATTGTTAATTTATTTTAAGTGGTTTGTAATTGTGTCAGTCCTTCCTAAGTTTGAAATCCGGCTCAGTGTAACTTGGGCTTTTTTTTTCCTTTGCAGGAAGCTGCTGGCACTGCGCGAATGCCAATCTTGTGTCTTTATAGCCTCAAAGATCCCACTGGCATTTTCATGTGGAAGACGCATCTTCCTGTAATGCTGGTGACACAGCAGGACCGGGAAGTCAAGATAACCTACATAAGCTGACTGCTTTTCAGAGCTGCCTGTAATGCAGACCCAAGGTTGTCACTTGGAAAGTTCATCAATTACGCTGTAGACCATAAGCCGCTTAGCAGAAATCTTGCTCTTGTGCTTTTAAATAGCACGAGGACTTACGCTATATTAAGGGTCAGCCTGTGCTCCATCCAGTAGGGGGAGGAAGAAACCCGGGTAAGCACGGAAGTGAAGTGGGGAGGGGGAACAGGAGGAGGACGACACTGACGTCTTCCAAGTGGTTGCAAATTGACACCAGGGGCCAGATGACAAACGGGGTAGCCAATGCAGTCGCTCCTGGAGCAGAGCAGGCAAGCTCCAGGCGTAGGTCATGAATTGTCCAATGCTGACTGGCCACGGTTGCTCCCTTCGTGTAGCCTCACGCAAGCATTTGCCAGGGGAGAGGCGCAGCTGACGCACAACAGAACGCTACTGACCCGCCTTACGAGGTCCTTATCTGCAAAGAAGTGTTTTTGAAGACACGCAGATGCTGGATGCGCTCTGGACACCCACACTGTGTGCGCATGCTCAGCGGGGCGGTTTCCGGGGAAGGTTTTTCTCCCAGGGCAGCCGCTTGTGGCGTGCGTTGCTCACCTTCAAACGCTGCCGAGCAGCATGTGCCTATTTGGAATGCTGGCTGAAACCGACCCAGTGCGGCTCCCCATTGTGCAGATGTGCCGGGTGACCTATGTGTGTGACTCTGCTGTTGCAGTGCCAACCGCTTACGGGCAATCTGAAGGCCCTGCCCCTTTCTCGGTTCTTTTCCTAGACTTTGGACAACCCTCCAGATAAACAGTGACTTCTAACTAGAGGGCAGTCCTCTGACTACACTACCAATTAAAGACTGTTTGCAAAAGGGGACATATACAGGCATGTAAGAGTCATAAGGGCAAGAATATCCCGTAATGTCTGGAAACATTCTGGGCTAATTCTCATGTGCCCAGACACCCCCCACCAGCCATTCCTGCAACAGGTAGCAATGGTGTAACTGGACAACCATCTGGGAGGGCTGGTTTAGCATGGAGTCTTGCACTGCGCAGGGGGCTGAGCCTTATCGCCCTCCGGCCCCTTCCAACTATTGCCCCTAGGGGTGGCCGTGAAGCACAGTATTAAGTGGCATGTTCCCAATCACTGGAAAGTTTTGCCTTCAATACCCCAGTACCCTTTAAGCTTGGGAACAGGACAACATTACTCACAGCAGAGTGTGGTGGTTGGGCTATGAGGTCATCACTTTCCAAAAAGCATTTAACACATTCAAACTTAAAGACAGGAGCAGATTTTCCCTTTCTTGTCTTTGCCACATACCAACTCAATATACCTGTATCACCTGACTATAGTAGTAGCAGGCAATCTGCAGCATCAGATCTCTTCAGCCCAGGCCAACCTATTCAATGCTGGAAACCTATAGGGCCCCAATTTATAATCCATCCCTGCCATATAGACTGTAGGAGCAGGTTTGCCACCTGCACTGGTGCAATTCCACAGGAGAAAAAGTTTCTCCCTATGGCAGCTTTTCCCAACTTTGTGCCTTCTCAGTGAGCTGGATAGCAACTGCAGTCACCTCTAGCCCAAATGGCCACTGGTGTCTCAGCTCAGCAATATTCCCTCCACTGTGACTGGAGCCTTCTCTAACCAACAGCAATTGGTGGCACCAGTCGCCTCACTACTCCTGAGAGTTGGAAGGGCGTGCAGATGGTCAGCTTGTCCCTTGGGCCAGAACAGACACCAATGTGTGCATGCACTTCCAAGTCTTTGCATGAGGATTGCCCCACTCCATCAGGCCAACTAGGGTCCACCCAGTTGGCCAACCAGAGGCCTCTTGGATACCCACCACCACCACCAGCAGCAGCAGTCTTGCTTTCCTCAGCCATACTCTTTGGATATTGGTGGTGATGTGCAGCCATTCTGGATTGCTGTCTCTGGGGGACATACCTGCCCAAACTGGATGGTCCCTTCCTGGTCATGTGCTTTGGGATCATTCTATGCCAGGCACTGTTGCAGTTGTCTTGATGGGTTTCTGCAAAACCAAACCGATCAGTTACCAAATCTTTATTCCAGCAAGGTGTTTTTGCTGACTTGCATAATCAAGAGAGTGTGCAGTCTCTTGATTGCAATTTGATCTGAGCCATGTTTGTTCAAAAGTAAGTTCCATTGTGACAATGAGTGTTTGCTTCTACATAAAGGGTTGCTTAGAATAGTGGTCCTAGGATACAAACACACATACAGGACTGTCTTGCGCAGAGCCGGCCCAGGTTTGTCTAGCACAGCCTTCCCCAACCTTGTACCTTCCAGACATGTTTGGACTACAATACCCAGAATTCCCAGTGAATGGCCCTGCTAGATGGGAATTCTGGGAGTAGTGATCTAAATGTCCCTGATGGCCACCAGGTTAGGGAAAGCTGGTGTAGCACAAGAGTTTTCAATCGCCCAGGAAGAGGGCTCCAACTACTAAACTTTTTAGAGCAGAGATGCCAAGGGGTAAGTATTGCTGGCCATCTATGAGCCCATGAAGTAGAATACTGGCTTCTGTTTACTCACGATGTTCGTACAGAAAATTTCCTGGAATCTAGACATGTATTTCATGCAGCCACCTTTCAGTATTTCGTTACAATACTGCAGTGAAGAGAATGCAGTGTGATTCTGAAAGCAAAGACTTCTCACATTTTCTTTATTTAAAAAGCATGCTGCTGGACTTTGATTCCAGATATATGCCCGAAAGTGCACAATGCCTAGTGAAATTTGCTGCCATGTTTATGGATGAGGCTTCAGAAACCCCTCTGCCCCACTGACAGAAGCAGGATGCATACTGCAAAATAGAATATTCTTGTATAGATCATTAGGACAACATGGTTGCAGAATTTAGTTTTTCATGTTCCAGGATTTGAGATATGTGGCACATTATGACGTACATTTCTCTTTCATCATCTGCTTATTCTATTTCTTTTGGAGCTTCTCTCCCTGCAGGTACCTCCCAAAATGGTTTAGAAACAGGATAAGAACTGGAATTTTCCATCTCTTCTTTCATCCAATGAACTGCAGAGGGGCACGCAATTCATCCTTGTCCCTTGCCATTTTTTTCACCATTACAACAACCCTCTGATGAAGGAAATGTTGCAGACTTGCTTAAACTGGAACTGGGCATGGGAGCTTTTCTGAGGATGATCCATTGTAGGGATCCTGTGGGTAACTTGATGCTCCCATGGAGTTTGCTCACTGTGTCGCAGAGGATTTCGCAGCATACATTCTATTCCTCCAGGTGTGCAGAACTGTGGCCCAAATCTGGCCCACCTGCATTCCCCAAATGGGAACCTCCAGTTTTCCCAATTTGGTGATGTCCTGGGCTTTGCACAGGTGTTTTCTCTCATTCTAAGGGGTTGTGGTGCATTTCCTAATGCTTAGTCCTGAGGAAGTAAGAGTTTTAATTAAATTATACAGAATTTGAGATTTGGTCTCTTTCCCTTTAGCATCAGGGGCGGCTGGATTGAATTCAGCCCTTCTGGGGAAAGAGAGCCAACAACTCTATGACTCAGTATGGATCCAACACAGAGATTTTGTAAAATTATTTCTATTACACTCCTCTGTAATAGAAATAATTTGGGTCTGTTTCCAATGCTACCTGGTACATTGTGACCTTTCTCACTACCAATATTTTGTTATCCTCAACTGCTACCATTTGTGGTTTGAGTCAGAAGCAAAAACAAGCACATCAGGGTCATTAACCTCTCTGAGTCATCTTTCCACCCAGTAAACATTTTTTTTTTAATCCAGACTCTGGCTCCCAAGAGATTTTATGTCTTTCAGAAATGGGCCCTGGGTCCCTAGGTCATCACTTAGATTGCTTGGCTAAACTTCCTTAATCCTGCTCATCAATAGCAAAGGCAGGGACTGGGTTCATGAATTCATCCAGAAGAATAATGTTACTCTGACACAGATGCATTTTAAAAGTGAGCAAACAAATCCTCAGCCTGTAGCTTGAAAGCCACATTGTTTTGGAGAGTTTAGCAGAGAGAAACTCCGATGACTTGCCCCAAACCTTTACTTTTATCAGATATTGTCACCAAAATGCTTCAAGAAATGAGAAAGGTTTAAAATGCCTTGAATTTAGAAAGCATAGGTATTTGTGTTGCTCCCTGGTGAGGGTAAGGGGGATGGGATTGAAATGCCACAATAAAATGGCATTTGGGGTTTGCTGTACTGTGAATTTTCTAATTTAGGAAGGACCTTTTCTCTTTTTGCAAGCTAAGGAAAACACAGGTAGCTTTCCAAAAATAAATCAGAAATCTATAAGCCATTCCTGCCCCCACCCCCCTCAAAACGCCACGTTTAGAAGAAATGCAAAGAGGAACAATTGTTCCACTGTCTGGAAGTTCAGAATAACCACAATAAATACTTCAAGGGTTCTTGGTCTGCAGCGCCCAGTCCTTGGAATCTCACCCGTGGTTTTCTAAAACAAGACAGCGTGCCTTCTGCAGAGTTCCCTCTGCTTCTTTTCTCTGCACCAAGCCACGAGAATTTAAATTGCCCATGTGCTTCAGAACACATTTCATGCTTGGCTGTCAACAACTGTTCGTGGCAATTGGGGGTGTTTTCTTTGTGTATCTGTAGTAGGACAGCTGGTGATGAATCATGGATCAGATGAAGATTTTCCAGCCAGGTTCAGCACACACAATTCTAAGAGTGACCATTCGGATGGCTGGATTTCTTGTAAATATTAGAGTCCAAATAGGTGCCAGAAAAAGTGCATCAAATCAGAATTGGGTGACTAACAGTGAAGCAAACAGTGCAGAAAAGGGCAACCCAAATGATCGAGGTGGGGGAAACAAGTACGATATTGTAGGCTTTTTAGTTCCGGATGAAGATGAGTAAAGCGGGGGAGAAGCTGGTAGAGAATCATAAAGGGGGCCAGTGAAAGCAGGCAGGATGACATTTCGGAATGCTAGAGCTGAGGGTCATCCAATTAAGCAGCACAGGGGGAACATTAGGACAGATAAAAGGAAGTCTTCACACAGAGCAGTGCAAGCTATGGAATTTATGCCCACAAAACAGAGGGATGACCACCAATTTAAGGGGGGGTCAGACAGATTCGTGGAAGAGAAGGCTCTCAGTGGCACCTCGTAGCCCTGACAGCTACATTTTATGTCCAGAACTGGGCAGTAGGCCTACATGCTGGGGAACATGAGTCAGGGGGTGCTGTTGCCCTCATGTCTCTGATGATTTCCGGAGGCATCTGGTCAGCCACAGAATTCTGCACATGATCTTGTCCGGCATGGCTCTCCCTCTGTTCTTATGTCTTACAGCACCTTCAAGACTTCAGGAATCATAGAAACATAGAAACAGAGCGAGACAGAAGGGGTCTCCCGGGCCATCTAGTCTGACCTCTGGCACTAGCCGGCTCCGCTCACAATGTGCCCACCATGTGCATGTCCAGCCTATCTTTGAACACCTGCACCGATGGGGCCTCAGTGACGAATCCATGAGGACATAAGCACCATGGCCATTAGGGCCCAAAGGGCCATGCCACACAAGAGGCCAATGTGTGGCACGGCAGTCCCTCCCACGATGCTCAGTGGATTGCACTGTGCCAGGAACTTGCATGCCTCACATGGTAGTTTTGCAAATAGAATGGGCATTGAACTGCAGGTGCCAGCTGTTATGTGTTTATCGGCACATAGGCAACACTTGGTGCAGTAGCAGTCTTCCCCAAACTAGTGCCCTCTGGATGTGCTGGACTACAGCTCTCATCGTCCCCAGATTGAGGAAGCCTGGCTGAGAGTGTTTGAGCAGGAACAGGGAGGTTCAGATTCAAAACTCCATCCAGCCAACCCTGAAGCTCACAGGTTGACTTTGGACATCTCTCTCTCTCCCCCTCCCCCTCCCTCTCCCTCTCTCTCTCTCCAGGTTGGTGCAACATGACAAGCCCCAGTGGTTTCTCGTGCAGGATGGCCTGCCATGTCTTCGGAAACCCGTCATGGTTCTTCAGTGTGCTGAATACGCTTTTCAGACAGAAGCCACAATAAGGAACCACAGTCTGTCCGTGGTTCCCATGCTTCACCGTGGCTTCCTGGATCATCCAGACCTGGCGTCCCGGTTTCCATAGCCCCGCTGAACCTCCTGGAAAGAGCACCTGCTCCTCCAAACATCCAGCACAGGACTGAACCTCAGGCTTGGCTGCTGATGGGGCACATGCCAACCGTGAGATGACCCGGCAAGGAGATGGAAACCACACTAGTGCAGAGACCAGTTTTTCATCCAGGCAAAACCATGCAGGGTCGCTCCTTGTGATGGGTGAATCCAACCATTTTCCCCCCCTGGCTGCATCATGCAACATGACAAGCAACCCTGCATAGTTACCACAGTTCGCTTTTTTTTTTTTTTTTTTTTTTGCCAAGCTCTAACCAGCAGATGATCATGTGGTTTCCATCCTCCCTGCTTGGTCCTCTCACTGGTGGCATGTGTCCCATCAGCCACTGGGCCTGAAATCAAATCCCAGGGTATGTTGCCTGCTTCTTCCTCATTGGTCTGTCCATACAGGCTGGATCGCTGCAGTGGTTCCAAACTCTTTCCAGGAGAGTCTATGGTAGTTGCAAACCAGGACATTGATCCAGGGTTCAAGCAACAGAGAAACCATAGGAGGAAAAAACTTTGTTTCTTATACTTTCTAAAGACAAAACTTATCATGGTGAAATGCCATGACTGCTTTTAGACAACAAAACGGGCCAACAGTGGTAAAAATCCACCATGGCTTGTCATGTTGTCTGAACCCAGCCTCACCCCACCCCCGACAGGATGATTGTGAGAAAAACATGGGTGAAGAGAACGTGTATGATGCCTAGAAGTTCTTGAATGTAATCAAGAAAGTTACATATATGTACATATCAAACACAGAAGACCCAAAGCCAGTCACGCTGCCAGGAACCAGTAACAACACAGTCCATTCTAGCTTTGCTGTAGCAGTGGAGAGGAAACCATTGTCTTGATTCAGGCCTACAGGAAGAGAATTAAATGCTGTGCTAAGTTCTAGTTCAGCAATGTCTCACTAGGTTTATGTCCAATGCTCCTCCGTTGGAGAAAGACAACTCTCAGATGAGCAGTACAGTCTCCCAGGAGACTGAAATGTTCATATCTGCCAACTGAGAATAACATTCGTTGCATCTGACAACTATGTTCAGTTTTCACAATTTCCTCATTTCACAATCAAGCCACCCTTTGAAAGTAAGGGAGGTGAAATGTCATACCTATTAGATTAATGGGGGGGGGGGGCATTTTCTATATCACACAAGATAGACATGTTTTCCCACAATTCTATGCTTGATAGACTCCACTGTGCAGTCCATGTACTTGAAAGTACATACTTGTTCCGTTCACACAGGTGTACACTTAAACATCTTCCAGGCACACTTGAAAAATGCAGTGTATGACATGACAATGTATGGTACTTAAGGGAAGGGTCTGTAGACATTGGTAAACGTTCACCTACTGAAGCCATCACGGCCTGCTCTGGCTGCCTTGGGGTGGTTGTGAAACACTTCCGAACAGCACCAGCTTGGCAAGGCAGCTTCAGCCTAGGCAATGATAGCCAGAAGGGGTGGAAGGAAACCACTTGATGCTTGGATTGTGACTTGCCAACAGAGCATCTTTCTTAAAGCTGATTGCTTGCTAATAGTTCGAGATCTTTCTTTGACATTTCATCAAAGAAAATGGCTTCCTGGTGGCTGGGAGTCTCTCCTCAGCCCTTGGGCATATTTTGTCCATCAAAGCTCAGAGAAGGCAACACTCTTCCATCTGTGGGGACATGTCAGGGAAACAGTTCAAAGCAGTTCATGATTTGTACTTGAATAGGGAGAAAAAAAATAAAAGGATGGCTACTTATGGAAGGAAGCATGACTCTTGACCGATGACCGAGTAAACAGGGCCTCCATGGACAGCCTCAGGAAGGCGACGGACTATTTAAATCCTCCTTCCACAGACCTTCTTCACCATCACCAGTATAATGAGCACCAGCCAGTCCCAAATAATTTCAGGACTTGTTCTCCCAGGCACGTCCTGCGAGCAACACCTCTGTAGCAAATCCCTTAAGGTGTCACATTGAGTAGCTGGAGTTGCCTTCATCACACTGGCTAAGGCTGTGCAGTTCTGAACATGAGGACGGCAGAATGTTGCCCGATTCTTCATCTCACATCTCCTAGCCAAACCATGTGTCTTGTGCTCTTCAGGAGCGGATCAGAGAAAGAACGGCAGGGTCTACGGAGAGGTAACAAGAGAGTTAGACGGCTATGTGAGCTCAGCAGTGAGAGCAAGGCCACCAGACCAATGGTCCGAGTCAAGCACAAGAGCCTGCTTTTTGCTTGCACGAGTGTATCCAAGGAGCCTCACTAAACTGAAGCCAAATCAAAAGAATCCGAGGGGATTAAAATATGATTCGAGTACAGCAGTTGTGTTTGTAAGGTGTGAGCATGTGGTGGTGGAGATGCTCATTATTTGCATACTGTTGCTAGGCAGTGGTTATGCATATGTGCATTCTCTAGATTGTAGAGAAATGAGACAAACAAGCGTGTTGTGTCAATAAAAACCTGCAAAAGGTCCATGGCTCAGTGGAAAAGTGCTGTCCTTGTATATGCGTAATGTCTCTAATTCCATCCAGAGCACAGAAAGAAGGAATTTGGGGTAGCCAGGCTGAGAAAGTTCTTCAAGCTAAGGTCCCACACAGCTGCTGCCAGTCAGGGTTGGTGATACTGGCCTGGATGGAGCAACCATCTGAACTTGGTGTAATACTCGGTATGGCCACTTGACAGCTTCTGTTTGCAAACAGAATGAATCAGTATAAATCGGCTGAGTTCCTTTGAACTCATTCAAGCCACAGAGGTGAAGGGGCCCTCGCAGGACATCTTGTCCAACCCCTACTTCATTCAGCAAACTCTCAACTGGAATGACCCCTGCAGTTAGCTGATGAGAAGATCTCCAGTCCCCTTCTAGGGCCATGGTTTCATTATGGAGTTGCTCTTACCCGTCAAAGTGCTCCTCTTAATGTCCAACTGGAATCAACCCTCCTTTCAGAGTTAACCCTGTTAGATCCCATCAGACCCTCTGGGGAGGATTGTGTGGTCCAGCACATCTGGGGCACACCAGCTTGGGGAGGGCTGTCATTATTTTCTTGCTGACTGATAACTTCTTTACCTTGCCTTTTAGCCCAAAATAGGCTCCCAGAATGGCTTGCCTAGATTAATGACTAGGCAGTCCGCAGGTGTTTGATTTAAAAGAAACAACACAACGCGGGGAAAGGGATGTGGAGGGAGGAGCAAAGCAAAGCTCAGACACCAGTCCTTGGACTCAGAGTTCTTCTGGCTGTTCTGACCAGGAGGCACCGTGGTGCTGTTCCTTCTTTGGTCAATGCAAGAGCTTTCCCACTTGCTGTGATGTTTCTCCTGGGAGACGGAGGGACACAGATTCCCAGGAGCCTTGGTGAGCCGTCCCTGTGCAAGATGGGAAGACAAGTGCCCCCACCGCGACACCACATCCTTCCACCTGCTACAGCAGACCCCCCTTTCCATTGCTCCTCTTCCCCCATCACAAGCACAGTCCTGGACCTGGTGGAGCAGCTCATCCAGCAAGCTCCACCATGGCTTCCCAGCTGTGGCAAAGACCCCGACGGATGGGAGGACCGCTGGGAGTGCTTTCCAGGACTCCCACTGGGGAATGGCACCGTTCGTGGTCCCTCCTGCTCCACCGCCTGATGCAGATTCCTCACCTTGCTTCAAGGCTGGCCCCAAACATTTTGCTGCCTGAGTAGAAGGGCTTCCCTTCCCAGTGCATGCTTGAAAGATGACTGGATGGGCCCCCAAGTCTTACTTTGCTGCCACTGCTCAAGGAAGTGAGCTAGCCTAGGAGCCTCTCCTCTCAACAGCTCATTTGCCGCCTCCCTGCCTCTGCTGCTCAAGGCAGCTGCTTCAGTCAGCCTCGCAGTTAGTTCAGCCTGGCCTTGTTGCACGGGAGGGCTGGTGTAGAAACCTGCTGTAGCTTGTACAGGGTCTCCCACCTGCCATCAAGCTTATGGCATGGTGCCATCAGTGTCCGAAATGTTTACCCAGTTCTTGTTCAGATGGAAATCCTGGCTTGGTGGGGGCAGGGGGCTCTCCTGCCATCCTAATTGGATTAACGAGCTCATCAGGGACTCCTAGCAAAAAGCACTCTGATGAGGCCATCCAGAGATTGTGTAATTGGGAGCAATGTTTTGCTGCTTGCTTTGGTTACAGGATCTTTGTTAGAGGAAGGGGGTGAAGGCTTTGTTATTTTTGAAATATGCAATCAGGTGAGCCAGGCCTTCAAAATCTACCAATTAAAAGAGGAACAAGGTTGTGGAGGATAAGTTATGAAAGCAATTCTTTCCCCCCAGCAACTGTCTTTTGATTGTATTAGCAGGTTGCCTGGCTCTTCCCTAGCTTCCAAGCAGAGGGTTCCTAGTATAACAAATCAAGACATTTTCCAGCTATTACATCTCCCTTTGTGGATTTTCTGTGGCCAGAAATGAAGGTAAAAGAAGCAATAGGAAGACATGGGGGTGGAGGCAGTACCCTTGAAAGGTGGCACTCCGTGCAGGGCCTGAAAGCCTCCAGCCTTGAGGCAGGGTGGCGGCATGACAAAGCCTTTGCTTGGTAGCACCTTCAAAGGTTGGGAGTGTTGAGACAGTCCAATGATGATGCAGAAAGGGTGGCTTTTGAGGAGGGTTTTAAATGGGTGTGAGAGAGAGGAGCTAAGAGGGCTGCTAAACGCCCGCCCCTAGCCTGAGACTTAAGGTGGGATTCCCAATCTGATCCGGAATCCATGTTGTGTACAAGTCTTGCCTTCCACCCTGTACACCTCAGAGATATTAATGCTTCCCTGTCCTTTGCAGGTACACTCTTCGACGTGCTAATAGTTTACCTGTCCTGGAAATTCTTTCAGCATTGTGTTGTCTTAATCCCTTTTGTTTTATTATAATGTGCCTCTAGCAAATTGCCTACCTGATCCCCCGCCCTCTGAAAACTGGATGCAACTGAAAACCTATAAAAACTTCTTGTACAGACTCCACCTTTGTAGTCCCTTTCGGGACTGCTTCCATGCCGCATGGATTTCCCAGATGTCTCAATAACCTGCAAACTTTCTTTTGATTGTGCCCTCCCAGCACGCCTGCTCTGGCTGGTTTTTCTTGTCACATCCATGTCCAGGGATTGAAGTATCATGAGTTTCAGGCCTCCCTGTTGGCTATCATTGCGGAGTGAAACAAAGGCTATGTAGGTTTAACGATGTAAATGCCCTTGGCCCCTTACGTCCATTATTGGGCAGGGAACCTGTGGCCCGTGGAGTCTTCTTGAAACTGTTCTTCTAGGCGGGGAAACAAACAAAAGGAGGTGTAAGCATTCTCTTCCATCCAGTCCCTTTTCTGATGCAACCCCTTCACCGCTCTGGGCGCTTGGAAGGCAATGCTGCTCTCGGCGCTTTGGTACATGACAGTACAGCACAACGTGTAATTTTCTCCAAATTCCTAGAACAAGAGTTGGCCTTAACTGCATATTGCAAAGAAAACATTGGGTTCCCAACCTTGTGTTTTCCTTGTAAGATGAAGGTTGGGGTGGGTGGTAAGGCAGCTGGGGAGAGAACCGGGCAGAGAAGGAGCTACTTAGCCTTTTCCTTGACCGCATATTTGCTTCTGCAAATGTCTCCCTTGGTATTTTCGGTAGTTTAATAATTTATAGTTGGCACACAGGAGGTCTCTGAGAACAGCAGTGTGGCTTACCTGAGGAGAAATATCACCTAAGGTGCATTTTCAGGAGTTAAATATGTGTTTTCATATAATCACAGAAAAGTAGAGTTAGAAGGTGCCAAGAACATCATTGGGTCCAACCCCCTACTGTTTCAGGACAGCAATTCACACCGCCATTTTAATTTGCTTTGGCATTTTGCATGATAACCTTTTGATGTTTTCATCTTGCTAGTTTTTTATATTGTATTTCCATGGGTTGCAAACAACCCAGAGAGCTCTAGCTATGAGGCAGTCTAGAGATTTAATTAATAATTTAATTAATTATCCCCTTCATGCGGTTAGGATTGCCTGGAGGAACCGGAGAGGGATGCATGCACACCAAAGGGTTGAAGATATATTTTTCTCCACGTGTGAATCTTGATCTTAGGCTAAACTGTGCAGATTAAATTGTGTGTGTGTCCATGTGACCACCAGCTGTGCCTGTGCAGTGAGTCTAAGGTGAACAAGGCAAAAGAGTCAGGCTTCGCTTCAGCGTCCCAGCCTGGCCGACAGGCAGAACCTGTTCTAAAGATGAGTAGGTGAAGAGCCATGCAAAGAGTTCCTTGCCATCAGCATTAGGGTGCAGGCAGCCAGGAACTCACAGTGCCCGAATGGCGCACTGATTCCGGCTTTTCATGTTGTGTGGGAAGTGTGAGCAAGACATCATGCGTGTAATCGCTGTTAACCTCTGTCGTCGCTGCCTGTTCTCCTGGCTTCTACTGCAAGACCCTAGTCCCTGCTCTTGTCCTTGCTCACTCACTGCATTTATAGCCCACCTGTTCTGCTGCATTTCATCCTCACAGCAACAACCCTGTGGGATAGGCCAGGCTGAGAATGAGTGGCTGGCCCAAAGTCACCCAGTGAGCTTCCTGGTCAAATAGGGACTAGAATCCCAATCTCCCGAGTCCCAGTAATCCCACAGTTGGGGGCCAGCACTGAGGAGGCCCTCCTCCTTGTCGGTGCCCTCCAGGCCTTCCTTGGAGGTGGCATGCAACGGAAGGCCCCAGCCTCTGATAACAATTTTTGGATAGCTTGCTGTAGTGAGAGGAATTCCATCCAGTAAGACAGTCCAAAGCCATTCCCTACTCCGCCTGGGTTTAGCTGTCATCCTCACAGTAGGTGGGGTGCAGGAGTTGGACATTAATTTCTTCAGCTGTACTCAGAAAAACAGATTTTGCCACCCCGCCCCTCTGCCCGGCCATAAATACATCAATACACAGTCTGAGAAGATGCCTCAGTGAAGATCAAACAACCCACTTCATTAGTGGGTGACTGTCAAAGTGTGATCTCTGTACTGTGTGGACTTGCCAGAGCGCCTCCCCAACCCAGTAAGTTCACGCATGTAACCTTTTTGTTTACTTAACTTGGCCAGCCTGTTCAAGGTAACTTTAATTTAGAAGGCCTGTCAAGTGTATCTAATCAGAGTGAAATGTAACTTTTTCTTTAGGATGCTGTGCTGTGTATCCAATCACTTTCCTATCCATATCGAAGTATCCAATCACCTTCCTGTGTATTGTATTCACTCCTCTTTTGTGTATTCTATATAACCCTAATGGAATTGTAAGCCGCCCCGAGGCTTCGGCGAATGGGGCGGCATAAAAATATTTTAATAAATAAATAATAAATAAATAAATTAGCATTGGATGTTCCTGTCTTGGGCACCCATGGATCCATGTGTTTAATTGTAAATAAACCTCATTGCCCTCCCAAGAAACAGATCATCTGAGCCTTAATTGCGGGATTGCGGTGTGACACAGCAATAGTATACCCTGGTGTGCTATCACTTTTGAAGTGCAAAGGGTGTTG